GCAACAATGAATGTATGGAATCCCAAAATCTCTGTAGATGTTCATTGAAATGAAAAATAAACAACCTAAATTTAAAAAAAAAAAGATGCAAATAAAAAAATTGGCAAATGGAATCCAGAAATACATAAAAAGAATAATAACTCCCAAACAAGTGAGTTTTATTAAAGGAATGGGATGCCAATTTAGCATGTTAATAATGTAAAGGAGAAAAATTATAAACTCTCAATAGATGCTAAGATAGAATCTGCCCAATTAAACATCTCTTCATGATGGAAAATTCTCCAGAAGCTAGGAATAGAAGGACACTTTCTCAACCAGATAAAAAGAATTTGCATTAAACCCACTGCCCTTGATCCCAACTCATGGTGTGCTTCCATTGGATTTTTGTGGCTGTAAATTTTATTGAGAAGATTCTGCCCTTCTTTCTCCCTTGGAGCAGTTAGTGGGCTTAGTTAACAGCCAACATGATTTGTACTATGTATGCCACAGAACTCCCTCAGCTGCTGGTGGATTTGAACTGCCAGCCTCTGTGTTGGCAATGCAATACTTCACATGCTATACCATCAGAACTCCTTCTCTGATATCATTAGGAAAACAAAAAGTCAAGTCACAGACTTGACAATATTTAGTGCTAGTAAGAATATGGAGTAATGAGCATTGCTAATGGTATAAAATTTGCATAATCACTTTAGTAAACAGGCGTTTACTACATATGACCCAGTCATTCAACTTCTACTTATTTACTCAAGAGATATGAGAACATATACTTGCAAAAAAATACTTGTAAACAAAGATTGATAGTAGCTTCATTTTATAACCTCAAGCTAGAAAAAAAAATCCAAATGTCTTTCAGCTGTCTAATAATACGGCATGTGTTCATATAATAGACTACTACTAAACAGTTATAAAAAGGAACAAACTTATAATACAGATAACAATATAGAAAAATCTTTTTTAATTGTTTCTGGATGAAGAAGGTTGGGTGCACATGGAATCATTCTATTCACATCTGCAATGACAGAATGCAGATGAATGGTTGTCAGGAATTGGAGATGGCTTGGGAGATCAACTGCAAAGGGATACAAAGGTAATTTTAAAGTGACAGAAATATTCTGAATGTTGTTTCTGGTAAAGGTGGTGATAATGCATGTGTTAAAAGCTATTAAATTATAAAGTTAAAGTGGTTCATTTTATCGTATGCAAATCAATGCAATTGATTAAAAGAAACAAACCTACTCTGATGGGAATTGTGATGCTAACTCAAAGGCAGTGCCTCTCTGCTAACTAGAATCCACTACCCATTCAAGAAAGAAAGAAAGATAGGCAACTCTTTCCATGTCATTTACAATCTCAGAAACCCAATGAAGGGTCAGCTATGAATGTGAGTTAAATTACTTTTATATACAAAGACCTCCCCTGATACATTACTTACTCTGCTTAGCCATGAACTTCCAAAAGAGATCACTTGAAATGTGAGCTAAGTTTTCATCTTTCTTAGCATATTTATCTATCTCTCTTTTCAAGTGTGCAATACCCTGGAAATGAAAGGTATGAGATTGCTTTAATAGGTTTAACTAACCATTAAGTTCTACTGCCTAGTGGTAAGAAGTTGCACTGCTATCCTGAAGGCACCATCTGCTGTAGGAGGGAAAGACGGGCAATCTCCTCTTGTGCAATTACTTGCCTGTGAAAACCCATCAGAGGGTGAGGTAGGGGTCTATTCCAATTAGATGGTATGCAACAACAACAACAACTATGCACCTTAAATACCCTTGAGTTTAATTATGTAAGTGAGTAATTCCCCATTTAGCCATTCAGCAAATATTTCTTGAGCCCTACACTTCAGCATCTTTTCCCTTTCACTTTGATTGATGCTGAAGAGTTGAAAAGAACATTTCAAAGGGTGGCTAGAGAAGACAAAGCTAAGTATTATAACAGAATGTGCAGAAAGCTGGAATTGGAGAATAAAAACAGAAGGACACACTCAACATTTCTCAAGTGGAAAGAACTGAAAAATAATTTAAAGCCTCAAGTTGTAATACTGAGAGATGCTATAGGCAAAATCTTGAATGATCAAAAGAAAAAGGGAGGGAATGCACAGAGTCACTGTACCAAAAAGAACTGGTTAGCACTGAAATATTTAAACAAGTACCATATGATCAAGGGTCAATGGTAATAAAAGATGAAGTTCAAGATGCACTGAAGGCATTGGCAAAAAAAAAAAAAATACAAGGCCCCAGGAAGTGATGGGATACTGTATAAACAGTGAGGGACACATGGGGACTGTCATATAGACCTTTATCAATTTAACAAAGGGGAATGATCCCGATCAACAGTATCAATAACACAAAATCAATTCCCATGAAATCAGACATGTCCTTCATATTCCTGTTCCTCTTTCTACTCATCTCAACACCAATATTACTGCATTATTGGGCCTAAAATTCAATGTAATTGCTAACAGACCACACAGAATCATGTTGGGGAAGTGAAAAGGTTATAATCTGACAGCCTATAGTCACTATGGAACTTTCCCCATCACTCCCAGCTCCACCTTGGGCCCTTGGGCTGCTGAACCTTGAGGGCAAAAGTCTTCAGGAGAGAGGACTGCAGTTAGACAACAACTAACCTTCTATTCCAGAGAACTTACCTGTGGGACTATAGAGGAAGAAACAGAAACAATCCCTTGCTCCACCCTCACCCCCATATTCCCAGATCCTGGAAACATTGCCAAAAGACCAAAGAAGAAAGACCATAGTTAGGGTGAGTTGGTCTCCCTCATCATAGGAGAGCCCTGAACTCTCCAACTGAAGCAAGTTCTCCTGAGAGCCCAGGAACCTGAGAGGATTTTGGGCAGGTTGAGTGTCCCCTCCTCTTCCACAGCAGTGAGATGGCCAGTCAAGGTACACAAACCAAGGAACTGTTAGATGCCAGGGAAGAAAAAAAAAACCCTCTCATAGTAATGACACAGAAGAAACAGACTTCATCACAGTCTACACAAAACCAAAACAAGATTTCACCCCATAAAAGTGATCAAAACACAGAATAAATGGATTTTTTGAAGCCCAACAGTGATGGAACGCTCTGACACAGAATTCAAAAGAACAATGATTGGATATTTTCAATAGGTGAAAGAAAAACTTGAAGAATTGCAGAATTTTACAAGCAAAAGCCAAGAGGAATTAAACACACACACACACACCAACAATTCACCATCCCGGAGGTACGAGGTTCGAATCCACCAGATGCTCTGCTGGAGAAGGAGGGCACTCTCTTCCTGTGCCAGTCAGATCTGATTTGACAGTTCACACACAAAAAATAATAAAATTTTAAAAAGTAAACAAAACCCAATTCAAGACAATGCAGATAAAACAAATGGAGTATTAAAACCCTAGAAAAACAAGAGAATGAAATCCAGAATATTAAGACTAGCACCTCAGAAGCTGTCAACATGATGGAGAGACAAATTAGCAGAATGGAGAGATGGAACTCAGAATCAGCTAAATAAATGAGAGAGCTCTCAGGACTAATCTGTTAGAGCAAGGAGTGGAATAAAAAAGGAAGAAAAATGAAAAAGGCCTAAGAATAATGTAGGACACCATCAAGAAGAAAAATATGTGCATAATTGAAATCCAAGGATAAGAAGAAGCAAGAAAAGACACTGAGAAAATTATGGCAGAGTTGTTTGAAGAAAACTTTCCCGGAATAATGAAGAATGAGAAACTATACATACAAAAAAGCTGAGTGAACGCTATATAGAATAGACCCCAAAAATACATAGTCAAATTCACAAGACTCAAAGACAAGGAGAGAATTCTGAAAGCAGCTGGGGGAAAAAAATTAAGAGTACCTTATAAAGGAGAGTAAATAAGATTAAATGCTGATTTTGTCCGCAGAAACCATACAAGCAAGAAGATAGTGGAAGAACATATATCAAACACTCAAAGAACACAACTTTCAATCAAGAATACTGTACCCAGCATAACTGTCTTTCAAATACGACAGAGAGATCAAGATATTCTCAGAAAAGCAGAAACTAAAAGTGTTTGTTAAAAAAAAAAAAGTCCAGTGTTGCAGGAAATACTTTTTATGGAGACATTACAGAAAGGAGGATGGGTCAAAGTAACCATCAACAATACCAAGAAGAGCCCCCCAAAAAAGATACCAATAAAACCTTTCCTCTCAATGATTATATTGAATGTAAATAGTTTAAATACACCAGTGAAGAGAAAAAGTGGCAAGTTGAATAAAAAAACCAAAGCTCATCCATATACTGTCTACAAGAGACACACTTAAAAAGAGTGAAAATAAAGTCATACTGGGCATATACCAAACAACCAAACAAATGGTAACAAGAAAAAAGCAGGAGTAGCAATATTAATTTCAATAAAATAGATTTCAGTGTAAAAACTATCACAAAGGACAAGAAAGGGCACTATATAATGCTTAAAGGGTCAACAGAACAAGAGACATAACCATACTTAGCATATAAGATTAAGCAAATATTGTTGTTGTTGTTGTTGTTGCTACGTGCCATCGAGTTGCGACTCATAGCAACCCCAAGTACAACAGCCCTAAACCGTGCTCTATCCTGTGCCAATCTCATTGCCTCTGACACACCCATCCCGAGTACCCCAGTCACTGAATCAATCCACCTCATAGAGGGTCTTCCCCTCCTGCGCTGTCCCTCTACTCTGCCCAGCATGATG